CCTTGATTCCTGGGCCAGTGTCTTCTTTCCTGGGGAGAGACAGCTGATTGAGAGTATATGCTGCATGTGTGAGATAGAACACTATCCTTTCAGAGTGTTGTTTTACCAGTGCCCTCTTCAGTAGGCCATTCCATTCTCGTGGGCCAGCTGCTCGTAGGTAATGAGAGTATGTGGTGAGACTAGTGAATTCCAAGTGCTGACAGACTGTATGTAGTAAGTGGTACGTGTGGTTTTTTCCCAAACCGAAGGCCATGAGACATAGTGGTCCTGAAAACAGTTTAGTGGGCTATGTCTGGTTTCCTCCCTCCTTCCCTCCTTCCCTTCCCTCCAAAGAGCTAGGATAGACCAAAGAGGCCGGGATAGAAAATAATAGAGTGTTATACATGTTGTATGGCTACATATATTTTTGGGAAAGCTTGGAAAGCTATTGGTCTAAGGTGACATTTGAACCTGTGGGGTACTTATCTCCAACCTCCCATAGTTTATCAGAGTCCTGCTCCACATGATGTCAGTGTTGGTTGCAGTCTTTCAGTGGTCCTATGAGGATGAGTTTCTATGGAAATCTTGTTTACTTTTAACAGGGTCAGGGGATGGCAATCATGAGTGAGATCACTTATAAAACTTAACTTTTAGAGTTGTTTAGAAGATTCATTGAGACCTCGTGACTGAATTCTGTCCCAGTGTCTGGCATGTTGTTAGATGTAGATCCATGTAACATACTCTGTTAAGGATGTGCCCAGTACTCTCTCTGTTTTCCTTTAAATTTTACATGAAAATGTTAATCTCCTATATAGTTCAGGTGACTGGGATGACCCAAATAGAGCCAATTCTATGATTTGAATAAAATTTCAGAATCCCCTGTTAATGTTCTCTTTTCCTCCCTCTTCTGACTTTTTCTCTACATGCTATTTTTTTCTTGGATCTTGAGAGCCTTGTGGTTAAAGAAAGAGATGAAAATTTTGTGGGAAAAGATCAATAAAATAAATGTGTTTATTTTTGGAATAAATGAATTGAGATAGATGGCCCAGCCCTCAGATCCAGACCTTGCAACAAAATGAATGAGCCAAAGGTAGAGAGCAGACGAAAGGGTTCCCCTAAGTGCTCTGTAAATATAAAGCAGAATAGCTTGCTTGCTGAAGAAATCATCTTACCATTATCTTCTGTACTTTTGGGAATTCACTGTGTTGGGAGTAGTGATACGTTTTGGAAAGATAACTGTGTTAAAGGTAGAGTGCCTTCAAGAGAAATTCAGCTTTTTATAGGCGTGCCCCTGATATGTCCTATGTTTTTTTTTTCCTAAACGGCTTTATCGAGGTGCAATTGACATACTATACAATTCACCCATTTAAAGTGTACCATCCATTGGTTTTCAGTATATTCACAGTGTTGTGTATCATCACCATCATTAATTTTAGAATGTTTTTATTACCCCACAATGAAACCCTGTCACCCTCCTATTACACCTTACCCTCTCCCTAGCCCCAGGCAACCAATGATCTTTCTGTCTCTGTAGATTTGCCTGTTCTGGATATTTCATACCAACAGAATCCTATAATATATGATCCTTCATGACTGGCTTCCTTCACTTAACATAGTATTTTCACGGTTCATCCACACTGTAGCATGTATTAGTACTTCATTTCTTTTTATTACTGAATAATATTCCATTGTATGGATAGACCACATCTGGTTTATCCATTCATCAGTTGATGGATGTTTGGGTTGTTTCCACTTTGGGGCTATTATGAATGATACTGTTAAGAACATTCATGTGCGAGTTTTTGTATGGACATATTTTCAACTCTCTTGGGTATATAGCTAGGAGTGGAATTGTTGGACCGTTTGGTACCTCTGTATTTAACTGTTTGAGGAATTGCCAGCTTGGTTTCCCAAGCAGCTGCCCTGTTTTTCATTCCCACCAACAGTATATGAGCAATCCAGTTTCTCCACATCCTCACCAATACTTGTCATTATGTTTTTTGTTTTAGTCATCCTCATAGGTTGTTGTCTGATGGTTTTGATTTACACTTCTCTGATGACTTTTCACTAGCGTATTGGCCACTGGTATATCTTCTTTGGGTCCTATTTTTGGGTGGCATAGAGGGATGGTGATATCTTCAGTCTGCCCAGTTCTTAGGTGGAGAGTAGTTTCCCTGAAAAGTTTCTCACTTCTCTGACTGAGTGAAATTCACGTACACACCAGGAAATATTTATTCGAAGTAACATTCTTTTAAAACACAGTTATGGTTAAGTCATAACTCAACTAGAGGCTGTACATAAAAGTGAATCTTAGGAAGTCCTGAATTTTGTGTCTCTGTTGGGGGGGGGGGGAACAACCAACTCGTAAGGGCTCAGAGAATAGAGTTTTCCAAGCCGTGTAAGCAGGGACATAGATGTAGTTCCTTCTGACTTGACAAGAAGTCTGGACAAAGGAGTACATATTTTTTTTTTTTTTAAAGATTTTATTTATTTATTTATTTGAGAGAGAGAGAATGAGAGATAGAGAGCACGAGAGGGAAGAGGGTCACAGGGAGAAGCAGGGCTCCTGCTGAGCAGGGAGCCCGATGTGGGACTCGATCCCGGGACTCCAGGATCATGACCTGAGCTGAAGGCAGTCGCTTAACCAACTGAGCCACCCAGGCGCCCAAAGGAGTACATATTTTATTTTGAGTCTGTCTACTTCGGTTTTTCAAAGACATAGGAATATTTTGAAAACTTGTATTTTCCTTCCTATAATTTGGCGAGGTAACCACTGCGGTATCTTTATTTCTTATTATTTACCTTTTGATTACTCTAACTGAAAGTCCAACTATATATATATATTTTTTAAGGGGACTTTTTTAAAAAAGATTTTATTTATTTATTTGACATAGAGAGGGAACACAAGCAGTGGGAGTGGGAGAAGGAGAAGCAGGCTTCCCTTGGAGCAGGGAGCCCGATGTGGGGCTCGATCCCAGGACCCTGGGATCATGACCCGAGCCGAAGGCAGACGCTTAACGACTGAGCCACCCAGGTGCCCCAAAGTACAGCTATATTGAAACAGTTTTAAAATGGCAAACTGAGATTGTGTTGATTTTGTTTAATTTTTCCTTTTTACCCTCAAGAAGTTTTTACTCATGTCTGAGACAGTACTTCTATCTTGACACAGTGGCAGCAAAAGATTTAAAATATTCGCCTGCTAAAAACAAGTTATTGAGGTGCATAGAATCTGAATTGTAGTCTTTCTCTTCACATACAAGAACAGCTTTCCAACAGCTGTAACTCCGTATTTGAAGCACATAAACTGTTTCATGAGTGCATTTGTACACAAATTACGCTGTGTGTCTTTTCAGTTGTTTAAATTTGGTGTACCTTGCTGCTAAGTGATCTTTTCAGATGTTGGCCTAAAGTGGAATTTCCTTGGAAGAGACTGGTGGAGGCCAAGAGGTGGTCACTGGTGAGTTCTGATTTCCTCGTGCCATTGTGAGTTTGCTCGCCTTCCTCGTTTCTCACTCAGTGTCTCCTCTGCAGTTGGATGTTGGTGCTTAACTGCATTTGCGGTGACCTGCGCCATCATCCGCCTCTCTCCTCTGAGTACCCATCCCCAGCTGATGTTTTCAGTGAGGAGGTAAAGCCTTGCACATAGGGGAGCTCTTCTGGCAGCTTCTCATATTTGATAGGATCAACATTTATGGATTTATTGGTTTTTCTTCGAAGAACCGCGCTCCCTCAGAAACTGATTTTGCTCTATAACCTCCCATAATGGTAACTGAAGTTCTGACTTAGCCTGCAGCTTCCTGAGCTGAGGGATAATCAGACCCTATAAACTCTGTTGGTTCTCTCCTTTTGTAGTTCTCAGTGAGAGAAGTGGGAGGTCTATGAATCAGGAATTTGAATCTCAGCTCTCATGTTTCTGTGACGATAATGTAGCTGCAACGGTTTTTCTGTAGGGGTTTTCCATTACCAAGGTGAATGAGGAAATAGAATATAAATATGAAGCCTATTCCTTGGGCTTTTCTGCCCTTTGTGCAGGCCAGGGTCAGACAAGGGGAGACTAGTACCCTCCTGGCTTTCTGTTATTTCACTTGTTCCTGGAAGTCATAGGAAAGTAGTCTAGTAACTACTTTGGTCTTTTTTTCTTTCTTTTTTTTTTTTAATAGCAGTAAGATAAATACATCTTATATATCTAACATAAAATTAGCCATTTTAACTGTTTTTAAATATTCAGTTCAGTGGCATTAAGTACATTTACAACCTGGTTCGCCATCCATCTCCAGACCATTTTCATCATCCCAAACTGAAACTGTACCTATTAAATAATAATTCCTCATCCCCCTTCCCCCCAGCCCCTGGTAACATCCATTTTGTTTTCTGTCTTACGAATTTATCTATTCTAGCTGTGTCTTTTAAGTAGAATCATACAGTATTTGTTCTTTTGTGTCTGGCTTATTTCACTGAGCATAATGTCCTCAAGGTTTAGTATCCATGCTGTAGCAGGTGACAGGATGTCCTTCCTTTTTAAGGCGGGGTAATATCCCATCGTACATACATAGCACATGTTCGTTTGTTGATGGACACTTAGGTTACTTCCATCTCTTGATTATTTGAATAATGCTGCTATGAACATGGGTATACAAATATCTCTTCAAAACTCTGCTTTCAATTCTTTTGGGTATCCACTCAGAAGTGGAATTGCTGCATCGTATAATAATTCTTCATTTAATCTTGTGAGCAATCACCATACTCTCTTTCACAGTGGCTGCACCATTTTATATTCCTACTAGCAAGTAAGTTCGTTTTCTTAACTCCAACATTACTTCCTTTAGGAGTTCTCTTTTATTTTAAAAGCTGTTTAACTCGGTCTTCTGCCTATAAAAGGAAGATTCTCTGATTTCTTTTGAGAGACTCTGGTCATCTCTGGAAGGCCGCTGCCCTCCATTCCGTGGAGCCAGTCTGGGTGCTTTCCCTCCTCTTTTGTCCCTCCATGTACGTGCCAGGTGCTCAGAGCCCTGCCCGGGGACATGCCTCCCTGATATTCTAGTACCAACATGGAGACACCTGTGTAACTTTGTGTTCTCTGCTTTGGAGAACATTTAAATACTGCTGTTAGCCGCAGACTTGGCTCGGATATTTTCTGTGGTTATGACTTTAGAGATACATTTTTTAGCAAAATTAGTGTGTTTCACCGAGCTTTCTGGGGGCAGAAGTCTAAAACTCCTGTCCGTGTCCTTGCCCCGTAGGGCCCATCTGCCATCTCTGTTCATCTCAAGTGAAGATGTGGTGGCGTTTCCAAGTGTTTTGAGGTGGGGATGATAAATGGTGGATAAATTTAGATATGCTGTAAGTCTACCTTCTCTCCCACAATCAAATTTTGAGGTTTATGTTCCTGAAATACACAATGGTAGGAGAGTTCACCTTTTCCTTATTTTTAACCAAGATCCTTACGTGTATAATAACGTTTCCTTAACTTTCCTGACTTTAAACAAACAAACTTTTTCCAATGGTTGTTGCTAAAACCTCGACTCCTTCTTCACCAAGTATCTTAACTCCCTTTTCTTGTTCCACAACACTTCCATTTTCTCTTTGAATCATTTTTTTTTTTACCAATATAAGTAATTTGCAGATTGAATTTATTAGATCTTAAATTCTCATATGCTTGGGTTTTGTGTAAGAAATACTTGTATTTTTAGAAGAACTACCTTATTTTAGAACAGGGAAGAAAAAAATTTAATTTGGGGCCCAGATGGAGGAGACCAACACTTATTGGACATGCGGTATGAACCAGGCCCCATGCTAGATACTCTACTTACCTTTGATTATGCCGATTGAATATAAAATGAATAAGGAGTCGACAGGCCAACTTAGGTAAGGTTTCTTTGTTCAGCAGAATTCACTGCATTGAGAAATGTAGTATGGACTGTCAGGGATGAAAATAAGACACCCTAATGGCACTTACACAGAATGTGATGTATTATTATTACACGAGATCTTCATTTCAGCCACTGCAGAATGGACAGAATTCCAGTTCCTCCCTGGCCTCCTAAGGTAGAGCCCAAGGTCTGACCTAGGTAGAAGACTTAAATCTGTTTGAGATAGAATATTACTTCTAGTTTGTAGTTCTAGATTTTTTAGGTGTTACTTCAGATACTAATTTTTATGCACACTTTTCTGAGAGAGTATGAAGTAAAGCTACTAGTCAAACTAATTTGATCTTTAGAACATACTTAAAACAGAAGGACAGTTGGCAAGGAGAAAGCTACAAATGGGAATGGCAGCTCTGGATAGACATGCTTTGGGGGCGGGGCGGGTCAAAGCTTGAGACCTATTTGCTGTGGTCTCCGAGGCCGAATGGCTGAGGTTTGTTGTGACCCGAGTGGGGCAGCAAGTCTTACCCTAAATGTACTGTTTGTACAGGCTTTCTGGTGGTTTGTACAGCATGGAGCCCCTTTCCTAGATTAAAATGCACACCCTGAGGGCAGCCCCAGTCACCTCCCAGGGTCTGTGGTTTGTGTATTCCTGTGAAGTGGGGCCAGAGCCGCAATCCAAATTGTAAATTCATTAAGCAAGGTGGCTGTTTCTGAGCTACTCACCGTAAGTGCTTGGTGAAGTATAAAACAATAGTTACTGACGTGCGTGTAGCAAAATTGGTTGAGTTCTTACCTATTACTCTGAACTTGACAGCCTTCCAGGGTGGGCAGAGTACATGCTATATCTTCCTCCCCTCTCCTGTTTTTAAAAACAGTGTTATTGAGATATAATTCACTGTTGGGGCCACTCCGCAGAAACAGGATGGACCCTCCTCCTGCCCCCTCACACCCCAGATTTGCTCTGGATGTTGAGACTAATGACATCGTATTCACGAGGAGGGTGTGAAGAGGTTAATTACTCATGTAATGAAGCTCCCTGAGGAGAGCAGGGCAGCTCCCAAGCACACCCTGAGCCTGGTTTGGGGTTTCTGAGGTGGCAGCGGGTGGGGCCAGGATGAGGATTCCTGAGTGGTTTGAATTCCCTCCTGGGACCAAGGGAGGGAGCCACCTGGAACATCCGTCCAGTTTGGCCAGATGTGGGACAGAAGGGGAAAGAAGAGGGGGAAGGCCTAAAGCTGTTAGTAGTAAAACATCAATAGTGGAGTCAGGCTTAACAAACTGTAGAACTCACCTGTTTAAAATGTCAATCCAGTGGTTTTTAGTATATTCACAGACTGTATACTGTGTAAAGATAGCATGTATGTTAGAAACGCTGTCCAATTTCTGAACATTTTTGTTACTCCTAAAGGAAGTTTTGTGCCCATTAGCAATGACTCCCCATTCTCTGGCAACTACTAGTCTACTTTCTCTATCTATGGATTTGCCTATTCTGGACATGTCATTTAAATAGAATCATAAAAGATGAGGTCTTTTGTGACTGGCTTCTTTCATTCTGCATAACATTTTCTAGGTTCATCCATATTGTAGCATGCATCACTACTTCATTCTTTTTTATGGCTTAAAAGTATGACATCGTGTGTCCATACCGTCCCAGTTTGTCATATTAAAAGATGATTGATTTGGAACCTGTGAGGGTGAGGCGGTGATGGGAGAGTCGGGTACCCTTATTAGCAGGGGAGGAAGACATGGGCTTGGGCTCAAGACAGAGTCAAGGGTGGACATCCAGTCTTGGGAATTGTGAAAATTAGGGGTCATATTTAAAGGTAAGAGAGTAAATGTGACCTCCAAATTGAAATACATACTCTGTAGGTGGCTGAACTGGTTGCCAATAGATACCATCCATCTCCATGTCCTCTGATGGAGTTCATGGTAATTATCCTTGTAGACTAACCCAAGATCATTCTGATACAGAAAAATCAGTGAAACCAAATACACATTTGAATGATTCATTTTGTTGTGCTTCTATCAGCATGAAACCCATTTTGGGCCTTGTTGAATCCTTTGCTCTAAATATTTTCTGTTGTTTTTCTTGCTCACTAATTTTGTTGGTTGGAAAATGATTAACATTTAAAATTGTTACAGGTTGCTTAAATGCTTATTAATAGGTCCCTAGGAAACATTTCTTCTTTCCTCTGAATGATTGTTAGGAAGTTGTTCTATTCTGTCCCATTGTTTTATTTATTAACTTGGGAGTTTTTAAAGTAATTCAAATAGAATATACTAGCAGCTTCAAATTTTGCTTGGTTATTATTTATAATCCTTTGTAAAGTTCAAACATAATCTTTTGTATCTCAAATGATATTCCCTGGCTTCTGCACCCAAGATGTCTAAAATAGGTAGTAACAATAAAAAATTAAGTTTAAATTTCTAAGTACCATCTTCATATTCAGCGAACTAATATTTTTTAAGTTGTTTTCTTCTAGGTACCATCTTTATATTCAGTGAATAATATTTTTTAAGTTGTTTTCCTTGCAGTGCAGAAGTTAAGATAGATGGTGAGCATTCTGAATTCTTAAAAGACAGATAATTTAACCCATGTGTTGGGTGTTTTATAGTCTACAGTATTGTGTTTCCATGTTATTTATCTGCCAGCATTGTGATGTCACATGAAGACTTGGCTCTTCTGATGTCAGGACTTGGGTATAGTCTTGAACACTGTAGCTCTGTTTTAACAGAGTTGCTATTCTGAAGCTGAATGTTCTAGACCACAGATGGTTACTCTTGTTTTTTTCCTGTGGCCAGGATCTCTACTCATTTGATCTCTGTAGCTGTTGGATAAACCTTGCATTAAAAAAAAAAAAAAGAGAGAGAGAGAGAGAAGCCTAGGATTTTTTTTTTTTAAAGATTTTATTTATTTGACAGAGAGAGACACAGTGAGAGAGGGAACACAAGTAGGGGGAGTGGGAGAGGGAGAAGCAGGCTTCCCGCAGAGCAGGGAGCCCGATGTGGGGCTCGATCCCAGGACCCTGGGATCATGACCTGAGTTGAAGGCAGACGCTTAACGACTGAGCCACCCAGGTGCCCCGAGAAGCCTAGGTTTTTGCTTATCTATGGGGCCTAAGAGGTAAAATAGCCATAAGATCCAGAAATTTTGGGATTATGTGACTATGTGGTATTCTCTAAAGATCTGCTTTTATTATATGATACGGGTTTCCATTAACTAACTCCCAGGTACTCAATCATTGTAATTCACTCTAACTTTAGAATCTGTAGATAGAAAATGGAAACCATCTGTTGTCTTATGAAATGAGGAATTCAGAACAGATCTTAAAAGAGCAGTAACCTTTTTCTAGATGCATATTATGGGTGGGAGAGGTTTTCCTGTGTTCATCATAGTCATTTTACTTAATTTATTTTTCATTTTTTAGAAGGAAAGTGCAAGAGTCAACTTAGTATTCTATCAGTGACATGCTTCCCTATTAGCCATCACCAAAGACACACATGGGTAGTATAGCGTTACTGAGTTCATTCTGCAGTGGAAGGACCTGGATTACTTATGCATCCCAAATAATAACCTTGTTGACTGTGGGACTTTAGTGTGTGTTTAGCATCACGTCCTAGAGCCCTGCTTCAGAAGGTATATGTCCAGCCTGATCGGGTCACCCTTTATGCATGTTCTCATTTGCATCTTTGGGTACCAGAGATGGGAGAATCCTATTAAGCAGTGCAAACTTGCTAGCCCTCTCTCTGGCAGAGTGGAAGTGGGCAGAAGTCAAGATTGACACAGCAGTTTTGTGTTCCCCTGTGATTTGCTGTCAGCAAGCTGTTACCCACACATGCAAAAGGTTGTTTGAAGTGGGCTTATACATGTTTCCATAGCAGCAGTCATCTTAGTGATTTCTCTCATTTTTGGGCTTTTTTTTTTTTTTTTCTGTTCCTCGCGGATGCAGGATTAAACAAACAGCATATTTAGGTCAAGGAAAGAGATGTTTGCTAATATAGATGCTGGGCTAAGCATTCTGGGAGAGTGATTCCTTGCAGCAGATGAACATTCTTTGTGCCTTCCAGCAGCATCTGCAGCAGGGTGGCTGTCTGGCACCATTTTTTCATTTTGGGCAGGTTCTGAGATTCAGAACAATCCTAAGCAAATCACGGGAGCCGGCAG